GATAGATCTTTTATTTATTAAAAATCAAACATGATAATCTTTAATCATGCCTAATAGATAAATTATCAATTATTAGATTACTTTCTGAATAATTTTTGATAAAGGGGGATCATCGCGAGATGAGTCAAGAAGATGACAAGGATACCAGTACTCGGGCGCTGCCATGGTGACATAATTTACTCATTAATAAGAGATGGAATAGTTATCAAAATGTACTCGATAATACTCTGGATCATCCTGCCTCTATCCATTATGGATGGCCACATGTAATCCATTGATCATGCTTGTCACCATGAGCTGTGTCAACTGAAGAATAAACTGATCACTAATGGTTTTTTTTTTTTTTTTTTTCACATTTGAACCATTAATGTAAATCGACACACACATCATATATATAAATTTCAAATTCAAGACCTCTTGGTTAGTAGTCAAAGCTATCAACCAATAGACTAAAGTGAGCGGCGTGATCACCAATAATTTGATTTATCATTCAAGCCATCAATTCATGCCCACTACACCTAATAGACTATCAAATTTGAAGTTATCCAATAAAAAATAAAGGAATCCTACTTAAAGGTACTAGATAATTATAGATAGATCTGAGCAATTAATCTCTCGACTAAATTGCTACAATTGAAGAGAACGATGAGCCAATTAAACAAATTTAATAGGGACATGTATTTGTTGTGCGCCAGAACATCCGTGACAGTATAGAGATATAGATTTTAGAGTTTAAGCTTTGTATGATGATTCAACGCATAGACAGATAAAAATGAGGAGAAACACATATATAAGGGTTTTAAAGTCAGAAGAGTATGAAAGTATAGGGGTGACAATATTTGAAACGAATCGAAAACCTGACTCGAACTTGACCCGAAAGTTTTGGGTAAGGGTCAACACGGACCCGAAGTGTGTCGAGTTCAGGTTCAACAATTCGACCCGTTTCAAAAATTGGGTCGGTTTCAAGTTGACCCTTTAACCTGAAATTGACTTGTTTTTTACCCAAAAATTCGTTTTTTACCCAGAAACCTGATATTGACCCATTTTCGACCTGAAAAGTTGAGATTGACCTGCTTTTGGACCCAAAAAACTAGCAGTTTTTGGTCAACCCAGGTCATTTGGGTCGTGTCGAGTTGACTCTGACCTGAACCTGGTCGGGTTCAGGTTCGAAAAACCGATCAGTTTGCAAAAAATGGGTTAGGTTCGGGTTGACCACGGATAGTGTAGGTTCAGTTTCAGGCTCGACTTGAACCCGACCCGTGACCCGAAATTGACACCCCTACGAAAGTAGATAAGAGGGGTGCATTAGATAAGAGGGGTGCAAAAGTTATAAGAGTCAAAAAGAATTTTACATGGAAAATCCTTAAATGAGAAAAACTACTGGGCATGGTCCTGTTAAAAATAATTCAATTAGTGTTTGCAATCAATTACAAATGATATCCTTCTTTGGGGGAAGGCTTTGACAAATATATATTATATATAGCACATTACATGGTGGGAGTTGGAATAATTAAATGATATGAGAATTGTTCTCAAAAAAATATTAGCATGTTCGTTTGGTTGGTAAGATCGTAGTCGAACGATAGAGGTCAGAGTGGTTGTAGTCGGGTGATTGAGGTAGAGGGGAGTGTTGTCACATGATAGAGGTAGGAGGGATTGTAGTTGGCAGGCGATAGAGGTCGGAGTGACTGTAGTCAGTAAACAACGGAAGTCGCAGTAGCTTAGTGGCGAGGGTTCATCGGTATTCGAGCCAAGGTGGAGCTCCGGGATTCTCCAAGCCTCAAAGCTCTCTTAAGTCTCTAGTCAAGGGTCTAAACCTCCAATAATTCAAGCTCCTTTTCACATGGGAAGAGGGGTCTATTTATAGATTTTAAGAGTGAGATGCCTCGTGAATATGAAGAATTCATGGTAAATTCAGAGTGCTCTATTAGACGTACTATACTGATTCCCTCAATCATGAACTATTTATTCAATATTTAAGTGTCTTAATGATGTTAGAATAAAGCAATTTTGGTATCATTGGATTCCTCCCATCAAGCCGTTTGGTTCAATTATAAGCATGTCATACTTGGATATCATTTTATCATTCAATTAATATTTTGGAGCTTTCAAATATGCTCTAATCCTTTGGTTTGAACTCATTTGGGCTCGGATTGAACCTATTTTGGTGTCGGTGGGTTCGTCTCGCTGAGACGTTCTATTTGATTATAAGTTTAATGATATTGGAGTTCAGATGATCCGAAATTTAATTTCGAAAGTTTTCAATTTAGATGACTCAATATTGATACTCGATAAATATGATTTTTGGTGACATATTAGTATCTATATATCGTTTTCATTTCTAAATATAGTACAATATTTATATTGGTTCACGAGTGCCATAATATGGCTTTGCATTGTCAAAATTTATTTGAACTTTATTGAATTATTTGATTCCAACAGTTATAAAATAGATTCCCATACATTTAAGTTCCAAAAAAAAACCCGCAGTGACGGCAACATCTTCTTGAAAAGAATGTCTATATTGCTCGTCGGTTCGCTGATCGCTTTCAGCCCTTTCATAGACTAATCGAAAATATACAATTTTAGAGCATGATGTAAATTCATAATAATTACAGTCCTTTGTATGTTGGTTGAAAGTTTTAAGTATCAACTAATAGATTTTAAATTTGCCTAAATATTCCAAAAATAAATAAATTCATAATAATTGATCGGTTAAAACGTTCAAATAAATGTCTCCTAACTAATGAGCATAATTTGTTTTTATTTGTGTTTGGAATCTTTTAAGCCACTTGCTCGATCTACTTTTTTTTCGTTTCCTGTCTTCTTTCGAAATCCAAATAAAATAAAAATTTGGCCAGAATATTTTTTTTATTAAATTTTAACCAGAATAAATTTTAGATTTTAAATTTTATTTTCAGATAAATGTAATGTCTACATAATTAAATATCTTTTATATTATATTCCTCACAACTAGTGTAAGGAGGTTTGTTTGATTTGTTGTAAAAAAAAGCTAATATTTTATTTATTTTATGGCATGGCTCTTGCATCCTGCACTAAACCCAAATCATTAGCACAAAGTGGAGCAGATCCCGCCGGCGTACAACAGACCCGTTATCCACCTTTGCCTGCCACCTGATCACTTTATAACTGTCAAGGGGCAATGATGTAATTGCACCAAGCAACATCTTTACTTATTTATACCAATGTAATCAGTTTTAGACAACTTAATGAAATCATCCATTTCACTGTTCATCTTCTTCCTCTCTTAGCTTGTAATGGTGTTTGCCTGTCTACACGACTTCATCATGGTATCAGAGCCGATCGCCTAACGGCTCCTCCGCTCCATGGCTGACTCAACAGCCTCCGCTCCCAGCACACCTTTTTAACTAGTTTATTTGATTCTAAATGTACAATTTAATCCTTTAAATATGAAAATTGTGTCATCATGTTTAAATATTGATTTATAATATTAATTAATTCTTTATAATTTTCTTAGAAGAATTTTGAAGTGAATTTTTATTCTATTTATTGAGTTTTAAACATTTAAACTTACTTATAACATTTGCATTTTGAATTTAAAATCTTAAAATTATTTAAGAAAATAAAAAACTTATACTAATTTATGAAATTATCATTGAATGGCTAGTTTTTAGAGCCATTTAGAGTTGACTATTTTCTTGTTTGTATGGCTAAAAATTAATATTTTAGTTGATTTCATCATAATTCATCTCTTATACATATTAGATATACTAATAAACTAAATCATTCCACTCAAAAGTTTAAAAAAAAAATGAAAGTGCTTAACAATTATCATTAAGAAGATATAAATTTTCATCCAAAAGAAATGCTCTTTGGTTCCTTCACTTGTGGTGGTCCCTTATTTGATCTCTAAGAAAATTTACAAGCCATGAATTTTATTATATATTTATTTTTAATCATTTTATATTACTTTTTTAATTATTACTAACAATTTTAATCATAATCAAAACCTTATAAGATTACAAAATAATATATTTCTTGCATAATTAAGTGTTTTAATGCCCTTCACCTATGAAAGAAGAGGGGTTGATGATTTCTCCAATACCTAAGAGCGGAGGAGTTATTCATATTGAAATTCTAAATGATGAAATGCTCAAATATATATGTTGGCCGAGTTGAGCCATATCATATAAATATCATTGCATTTATTTATAGCTATTATAGCCATGATTTAAAAAATTGGATCGGAACGGCCGATTCTGTGAGTTTAATTATGAACCGGCTAGTGATCGATTCCGCCCTCATAAAAAATTGGTTCAACATCAAACCTGTTCAGTCCTTAGAATTTATACCTATTGCACTGAAGCGATATATTGCTCAAAAGAAACTTCTGAGCACCAAAAGTTTTTAAAAGAATTATAATAATGAGAAAATTGATCAAAGTAGACTACAAAAGTCCTGTTTGAAATATTTATAGCTTTCTATAAAGTCTGTTTGAAATATTTATAGCTTTCTATAAAGTTGAATATGAAATTATTATCAGAAAATTTTTTATACTTATTGTAAAAAATAATTTATTGTTACAGAAAATTTTAATAAATAATGAAAAAAAAAAAGTTGTCACATGAATTTATAATTACTATCTAAAAAAAGTAAAACAATAAAAAAATTATCCAAATAGACTCTAAATGACTATATGATCAAGCTTAGATATTGAAATACCAAGAAATTGATTGACTTATCAGTCACCATAATTTTTTCCAAATATTACAGTTGAGCAAAGAAATGTTCAGAGTAACACTCGGCTCAATTCATTCATGGTTCAAGCGCCGAATGAGATCTGTAAGACGAAGGCACAACGTTATCATTTCCGGTCAACGGCATGTGCTTACAGGGCATATAGTTCGTCAACGGTCAAACGGGGCAACGAGCCAGAAAGGCGGCGCACTCAGCCGGCGACCGTTGGTTCGGCAGCCCCGGTATACAGTTAAGGCGGACGTCGAGAACCCCCTTCTTAATCAAGCTTCAGCAACAGGGGCCGATTTTGGTGAAGTAGTTTTGGGAAAGAGAGAGGTTAAGTAATCTTCCGACGTCAGCTAGTCGGCATAAGGCGTCGGGAACTTCGCCGTAGAGTTTGTTGACGGCGAGGTTGAGCTGTTCGATCTTTAGTAGACAGGCGAAGGAGGAGGGTATGGTGCCGGTCAGTTGGTTATAGCCGGCGTCGAATACTGTGGCTTTTTTCAGACTGCCGATTTCCGCCGGGAGGCAGCCGGAGAGGTGGTTGTTCAGGAACAGCACCTGGGGGGAGGAAACGGCCTTTTTGATTAGACTGAAATTTAAAATTGCTAAATTTGCTTTAAAAGTCGCGAACTTTACCTCAAGAAGAGTATTGGAAGCATTGCAGATAGAAGGTGGGAGAGGACCCGTAAATCCATTGTTGGCCAATGTCAGATACATTACCGGTGAATTCCCAATATCAGCAGGAAGCGGTTGATCAAATTGATTATTATTAAGACAAAGATAATCGAGCCGGAGTGTAAAAATAAAACCCGGAACCGAACCGGCGAACCTATTAAACCGGATGTCAAGGAAGGTAAGGTTACTGAGTCGGAGAACATTGGTCGGAAAATTACCGCTCAAGTGATTGTTACTGACGTCCAGTTCGTAGAGGAAAGGAAGGTTAGAGAGATTCGGAACGGTGCCGGAGAAATTGTTTGAGTTGGCGTGGAAAAGGGCGAGGTCGGGAAGGTTGTCGACGAAGCCGGTGAGAGCAGGGGAGCAGAGCCGGTAGCCGTTGAAGTCTATGGATGCGATGGTGGGGGTATTGGTGAGGCCAGGGGGCGTTTCGAAGAAGAAGCCGCGGTAAGTGCAGGGTCGGTAACCGGACCAAGTTTGGGTTATGTTGCGAGGGTCGCAGGTTATTGTTTTTTTAAAGCGTTGGATTACTTTGTAGGCAAGAAATTGTTTTTCGTTTGAGAAGTCGCAGGGGTGTGGTCTGCTGCTGGAGTTGGTCCGTAGGATCCGCCGCCGCCGCCTCCAATGCCGATGCCGATTTCAATGGAGTGAAGAGAGGGGAGGATGTGGAGGAGGAGAAGGGGAAGAAGTGAAATGGAGGAGAGGCTCACACTGCTCATTTTTTTCTTTTTTCTTCTCTCTCTCTATATATATATATATATCGCAATGATTTCAGAATTCATGAGATTTTGTTTTTGGGAGTAATCATTAGGGCTGCAAATGAATCGAGCATTTGACAAGTTTTTTGGGACTCGGCTCAGTTACGACCCGTTCATGATTATTTATTTAAATAATCAAATAAGTTTAAACTGTTAGGATCTTGGATGAGGAAAAAGCCCTTAATGAGCTTTTTGGGAGAGTAGGAGGGAGGGAAGAGGACACGGAGAGCAGCAAATTAAATTCTTATTGCTTAACGATGTCCTCTATTATAATATGTAACATCTATTTATAGACTCAAAATGCTACACCAATGACAATACAAGTCTTTCAAGTATCTAAAGAAAGTATGTATGAAATACTACCTAAACTTTGGACTAATATCCATCAATCTTTACCTTGGTTCTAGATATACACAAAAACATAAATGCTGTCCTCGAAGAACAGCCCCGTTGATCTTCCCCACCAATATAATGTCCGCTTGACTGTTAACACCACGTAACCCATGCGTCTTGCTTTCGAATCCTGTGGTCCACTTGCACTCGGGGCCTCGTGCCCACGCCTTGCGCCTCAAATCCGCGCCTGCGCCTGCATTCATGTGGTCTGACTCCAACCACATTTTGCGTGTATCCACCTGCGCACTGAGCCCTCTGCCTTCACCTATGCCCTTCTAATCTCAATCTCACACTTTGAGCATTGACTTGCACTCTGAGGTCCTTCGCCTACTCCCGTGTGATCTCCCCGCATGCTAGTGGTCCTCTAAGAGCCACTCTCGACGCTACTACTCAAGAAAAGGCCGACTACACTTCATTGTCTCTTGAACTCCACCTTAAAAAAAATCTAATAAGATCTTTTAATGGAGAATAATATTTTTAATCTGCAGCCTCCAGTCCACTTCGGACTGATCCCCTGCTAAAGCTTTCATCACTAATTCTTTCCTTCTTCTCATTGTAAGAAGTTTTTTCCTCTTCACAAGCTTCAACCAAGTCTTTCTTCTTTCCACATGAAGTATTTTCAGCCAAATCATTTGCTTCCCCTTGACTTTCACTAAAACTTTCTCTTTGCCCTCTCAATTCAACAAAGACTTTCCCTTCAACTATGATTTCCTCATCCTTCCATTTTTCTTGTGGTGCCTGTATGAATCCCACGCACGAACCGTGGATTCCATGCCCAACGAGCTAGCTCCCGCCCACCCTCTCATGTGAACGCACTCGCGGGCCCCCCTTGCCGCTCTGTGACTTCTACTCTTGCCCAGATTCTGGCGAGACAACCCTCTTCCACTGCTTCTTGCTTCTTTCTCACAGGTTTCTTCCGAACGTACGTGCCCCGCAAGCCTTCCATTTGCAGGCTCTGCTTCCACCTTGTTTGATGCCTAATCTCTCTATCCTGTGCGAACGACCTTCCTTTTGTTCATCTTGCCTCGTACAATGCAAGACACCCGCAACTGAAGCCGCCTCCGACTTCTCTGACCAACCTAAGCCTAGACCTCCGATCTGACAATGCCGCCCTGGCGATCGCCCTTCTAAAAAGGATGTCGTCGTTTTTGCTTCATGAATCTTCTTGAATCGTTTTCTTTAAGAAAGAAAACCTCCTCCTCTTAAGTTTTCTCCAACCAGTTATGATACCAGATGTTAGGATCTTGGATGAGGATGATGCTCTTCCTTCATGAGTTTCTTGGGAGAGGGAGGGAGGGAAGGGAAAAGGGAGAGAAACAAACTAAATTCTTATTGCTTAAACATGCCCTCCATTACAATCTATAGCCTTTATTTATAGACTCAAAATACTACACTAATGGCAAAACAAGTCATTCAAGAATCTAAAGAAAGTACACATGAAAAATTACCTAAATCTTGAACCAATATCTAACATAAATGATTTTTTAAATACTCATTGTTAAATAAACAAACATGATCAACTATTTGTCTGACTACTCTATTAAGTCTTACAATTTGTTCATGAACGGGCTTGTTTGGTAGATCAAAACCACTCCTCTATATATTCTTGAACAAGCTCTAAGAGATTGCTTTTTAGCAGGCTCAATAGATTAGTTTGTTTAAAGCTCAATAAGCATAAGCAAATCGAATATGAATCAAACACAATCCAAACATAAACATCTATTATTTTAAATGAATCAAGCTTGAACACAAACAAAAATGCTCGAATCAAGCTTGAACAAGCTAATATCAAACAAGCTCAAACATGAACAACTACATACTCGAATTGGCTTGGCTTGGCTTGGCTAGAACTAGACTCACCAACAAGCTTACAAGACAAGGTTATAGAGCCATGCTTGAGCTAAGTTCGAGTTTGATAAAACTTGACTCTTTGCCTTGCGAGCTTACTTGGTTAAGAGCTTTGGCTATCCATTAAGAGTTCTTTGGTTCGAAGCTTATGTATGTGATGCACATGTGAGATTGTCTTAATTGACTTAAATTTATTTTTTTAAAAAAGTTAAAGTATTCCAAAAAAAGTACTCCAAAAAGCTGTTTAAAATTAATGTCATTAATGCACCTACTACTATTACTTCTCCAAAAAAAAAGCTGGTCTTCGAAGCTACTGCCATCGTCACTTCTCCAAAAAAAAAAAAAACTCTTTCTTCAGCACTTTTTCACTCGCGGTGATTTTGCCAGTTCATCCATTGTGCTTCTCGAGTGGACTCTTATGAGCTTGAGTCTAGCTCTTGCACCAAAGAGTTAAAGGATGAGCCGAATTTGACTTCATTTTATGGGCTTGATTCGAGTGTGAGCTTGAGTTCGAGCCAATTTTCTTATTGACCAGCTGAGTTCAAATTTGCTATGACTCGAGTTCAGCTCGACTCATTTATGCCTCTTATCTAAAGCAATATATAAATGCCACTTATGATTCATCCCAAATTAAATCTTAATAGTTAAATTTTTTCCAAATAAAATCTTAACTATAAAGCTTGTAGTCCGTGATATTCCCCACTCCTAACACATAACCCTTTCGTATTCCCATTCACATGAGCCCAACCCCACAACCCCCGCTACCAACCCTCCTACCTATTACATTTTAAACAAGCTCGCTTCTCATGCTTCGCATGAAGAAGAGTTTTAAAAGAATCGCTGAAGAAGCATCTTCGCCTGGAACTTGCCGCAACTTCACCCAACCCTCTTCCCCATCTCATTAAAACTAAGCTTAGGAGCTTGCCATGAAGGTAAGGACTTTTTCTCCTTTATGGTGGCCAAGATTTTTACATAAGATTAGCAATATCTGAACTAAGCAAGTTCTGATTAATTTGATTAAAATAGTTGTTGACTAAAGTTGAATAAATGATCCCATCATATATTTTTGCTTTACGTTCTCTTTTATGCTTGTGTTAAAACTAGCTTTGCAGTAAAGTGCTTGATGGTCCATTGCCTAATATGTTACACTATCTTGCTTGAGGAAGAAGATGTTCTTCTTCTTGATCTTAGATGAGAGAGGAGACAGAAGAGAGGGAGAGAGATTACAGGAAAAACCTTTTTCTTTATTCAATAGGGGCTTAGAGTTATTACAATGGGGCTTCTTATACAACATCCTACAACCTTTATTTATAAGAAATTCATATCAGTGTGGTATCTTGTGAAACATTCTAACTAAAATCAATCCAAAACATAACAATTTTCACCTTGGTCTGATTTTATAATAAAAGAACTACCTGTGTACCTACATTGATCCGATTGGCTCCCCGCACTAACTGCACGAGCAAACCTTCCGAACCAAGCCCAATCCCACTCGTGAATGGCCTCCATTGTTTGTTTTAATCCACAGCTCCAGCTCGCGCTCCTGTGCATTCTAAACCACGTTTGTCTACATTGGTGGTTGTTCCTCCTATGATCCGCTCTATTGTACCTTGTGTATTTCTAGCTCCTACATATTTTTGGCCCATGCATTTGGTTATGTATGGAACACCCGTATTCTATCATTAAGCATCCTCCAACTAGCCAATCTTCATAGGGCACTTGTGCACACTCCAACCTATGGCTTTGCATGAGCCACCGGTTTGATTCAAAATCCACAATCAACCTATTTCCTCAAGATTTTTGATCCACTATTCTGACACATCAAAACTAATGACTTAAAAGCTCCACCTCAAAAAAGAACTTGTCAGATTTCAACTTGAATTCAAATGCAAGAACTGCACTCGGACTGAAAAATCGCAGTTGTAATAACATGTATTTTGACTCTAGAAAAAATGGGTTATTACAACAGCTCTGCCTTCTTTCGACTGAACTAACTTTCGATCTAACAATGCTCTCAAGATTCAGTTTGTACTGCACCGTCTGGACTAAAATCTCCTACTCTAGATCTGCCTCCGTTAGCCTACTCTCTTAGCTGAAAGACCTAATTTTGCACACGACACTCCCATGACTCTTGCCTGATTCCACTATTCTGTCTTGCTTACACGAGTCCGCCCGTGTGTAGCCATCTAAAAGGGTCTTCCCTTGCACATATGTGACCAGTACTTGCGCTCGCGTCCAACCCGTACATTCACCAGCACTACACCAATTACAGGACGCGAATCTAATCCACGCTAGATATTGCACGCAATCATGCTCATCTATATCTTTGAGGCACTGCACATGCCTACATTCCTCTCCGATCTTCACTCAAATGTTGAACCCGAACTGTATAAGGCCGTCCACTTTACCTCAAAAACACCCTCCTCCTCAACATTGCTTTCATCTTTCTATGATATGATTTGTTATTCTATCTTTCTTGAGGAAGAGGAAGCTCTTCTTCTTGATCTTGGATGAGTGGGAAGAGAAGGATAGAGATTACAAGAAAACCATTTCCCTTTATTCAATAGGGTCCTAGAGATATTACAAGGGGCTTCTTATACATCATCTTACAACCTCTATTTATAGGAAATTTACACCAATGTGGTGTCTTGTGGAACATCCTAACTAAAATTGGACCAATAAACAACATAATAAAATATTTGTTTAAATTTATTTGCTTTCTTGCATATCATAAATTTGGTCTTATTCCGACAGATGATTAATTTAGTTTTCTCTTGCTTCCTAAAGAAGCTTTTTAGTTTTCTCGTGCTCAACCCCACAACCCCCGCTACCAACCCTCCTACCTATTTTGGTTGTCAAAGATTTTGCATTTTCTTAATTATGCTCAATGGTGCATTATTTGATGCAATGCATTAGAAATGAATATGATTATGTGCTTGCGTAATAGCTGATCGCTATTACTATCATAGTACTATGATAATAATGTGTATGTAAAAGAAAAGTAAAGATTAGTTGACTCGTTATTTCGAGACTGACTGACATGTACATGATGGTGGGCCTATGAACTTTCCTTTAAATAAAGTGATTTAGTGTTATCCTCTACTAATTCACACGATACATTGATTGGGAGTTATAAGGAGATTATTACTGTGTTGACGAGTAAAGAGTGACAACTCTATTTACTAAGCCAATAATTTACTAATACTTGTACTTATTTTGAAAAATATCATAACAGCCAGGGCTTCTTATTTGTTTAGTGTGATTGCTGAAATGTATGTTCTTGAGGTATTATTCTTATTATTGTATAAATTTGTTTTTATTATATGGATTTACTACATGTATTATTCTACTGATTATGCCACTTGATTGTTGTTGT